AGGGAAGTACGAAGCCATTGATCGTTCCAGTGATATTTTCAAGCTGTCGCCTATTCTGGACGAGCATAATGTGATGCGAATGGATGGCAGAGTGCAGGAGGGAGAGTTCGTTCCGTTTGAGCTACAGTTTCCGGTAATCCTGCCAAAGGGGCACCCGGTGACGGTCAAGCTGATAGAACACTATCACCAGCTGTTCGGTCACGCGAACCGGGAAACTGTAGTGAACGAGTTGAGACAACGTTTTTACATCCCAGGAGTCCGCAGAGAGCTGGAAAGAGTTGCGAAAAGCTGTATGCGGTGCAAGGTCCAGAAATGCAAACCGGTGATTCCAAGAATGGCTCCGCTTCCGAATCAACGAACCACTCCTTTCGTTAGACCGTTCAGCTACACCGGAGTTGACTTCTTCGGTCCAATCAACGTAGTGGTTGGACGACACACAGAAAAGCGTTGGTGTGCTCTTTTCACTTGCCTTGGAACTAGAGCCATCCATCTTGAAGTCGTCCATAGTCTGTCGTCACAGGCATGTCTAATGGCCATCCGACGTTTCGTTTGCAGGCGTGGAGTTCCCATTGAGTATTTCTCTGACAATGGGACAAACTTCGTAGGCGCAAGCAAGGAGATCGTGAAGGAGATCAAAGCGAACTGTTCTGAGGAGCTAACGAGTTCAAGGACCCGATGGAATTTCAATCCACCATCGGCACCACACTTCGGCGGAGTGTGGGAACGACTCGTCCGTTCGGTCAAAGAAGCGGTGAAGGTGTTGGACGATGGGCGTAAACTGACGGATGAGATACTCCAGACTACGTTAGCTGAAGCAGAGGACATGGTGAACTCCAGACCTCTAACCTATATTCCTCAAGAACCGGGGAATACTGGTTCGATAACTCCCAACCATTTTCTGAGAGGGCTTTCGTCAGGCGAAATGGGAGGTTGTGTACTACCGACCAACGAAGCTGAGGCGCTACGGGACAGCTACAAAAGGTCGCAGATGCTGGCTGACCGTATATGGAAACGGTGGTTGGCTGAGTACCTTCCGTTCATCAACCGGCGATCGAAGTGGCATAGCGAACAGAACCCACTGGAAGTAGGCGAAGTCGTGTTTGTGGCAGACGACGACAATCGAAAGTGCTGGGTTCGAGCAGTAGTAGAGGAGGTCATCCAAGGAGCCGATGGAAGAATTAGACAAGCAGTGGTGCGCACAGCAAAAGGAACATACAGGCGTCCGGTGGCAAAGCTTGCGGTGCCGGAGATACGTGTTAGTAAATCTGGCTCCAGCGGAGAGCCTACGCCAGTGTTACGGGGAGGGGCTGTTGAGGCACCGGTGACGTCATCACCGAACGCGCAGCTACCAACACACGCGCAGTCGTCGGGCGTACCTGAGTGCAGATAGCCGACCCGAATCAAACGGTCAAAAACGTAAACATAGCAACATAAGTAAACATTAGTGGATGGAAATAGTTGATTGTAGTTGAATGAAGCGATTTAGTGAATTTATGGTGAAATTGATCAGTAGAGGGCATAATTAGTTAAGTGGAATCGTTTGTGAATTGCGGTATTAAAGAAGTAAGTTTGTATGGAACAATTAGATTAAAAATGTGAAATTCATAATTATTGTTGTAGTCAGGCAAATAACACGGCACTAGCAGACACAAAAGGAGAAAACACGGTGAAGTGAAAACTATTCATGTGAGTTTTGTAGATTAAACCAAAAATTAACAATTAACTGAATACAAACTAATCTTACAGTTTTGAGCTGCTGTAAATCAACGCTGCTGCAAAAAAAGTTTTCATTAGTGATCCGAACAGGGGGTAACAATTGATAAATAGGAGGATGGAGGGAAAAGGACTAAGAACAGAAGGGTTGGAGATGCACTGTGTTGGTGGTTGCACAAAGGCTCAGGATCTTGAACTAAGCGGGCGGACGACTGTGTTGCTTTGCGTGATTCTATAACATTCCCCAGAATTCCATTCCCCAGAATGCACCATTCCCCAGAATGCACCATTCCCCACAAAAGATGATGAAATTAGTAATTTATCACTTTTTTTTTGGTCATTTGATATTATATTTCAGTTAACAGGCGTCCATAAATAAACAGGTCCGCAAGTTTCTTGCACACTGAATAATACATCTTCTGAATACCAATTTTCTAGATAAATTTTACACATTTGATTTAATATATTTTTCATGATAAAACTCTCTGATTAGTTTCACTTTACTATTGATGATACACTACGTTTATTTTTATGGAACTATGTATTTATGAATTCCAAACCATTTTATAGCTCTTTGGAAAATGACAACCGTCAAGTTTTCGAGCACTTCGTTCATCATTTAAAAAGTCAAAGGGTCTATTATGCAATCCAATTCAACCAGTCGGAAACTGTCAAACCTTATCGAAGAATTGTTCGACCTGAGTTGAAGAATTTCTCGTGATGGATTAAAAAATCGGTGCATGAAACGTTGAACTACCGATTACAAATTTTTAACATTATTCCACACGTTGTTATACCGAATGGGCTTTACCCCGAATCCTTTGCGAAAAACTATTGATTATATATTTTCCTTATATATTAAAAGAAGGGAATATTTCCTTCTTTATCGTATATTTAAAGAATTAATTATTTCCTTTGTTATATTTTCAAAGAAGGGAATATTCCCTTCTTTATCGTATATTTAACGAATTAATGATGTTCTCTTTTATATATTCAAAGAAAGGAATATTCCCTTCTCTATCGTATATCCCAAGAATTAATTATTTCCTTTTCTTATATTTTCAAAGAAGGGAAAACCCCTTGATCCATTAAGAAGTTTTTCTCTTCTTTTTATATACGCGAAAGAAGATTCCAGGAGTGACTATAATAAACAAAAATAGTCGATCTAATACATGGCATACTTTTCTGGGGAATGATACATTCTGGGGAATGGTTCATTCTGGGGAATGCCTTTCTGGGGAATCGTTGAAAGCATTCTTGAAGTGCTCTGCCAGAAGATTACATTTCTCTAGCAAAGTGTTGGCATTTCTGTCACCTAGATGATTTTCAGCCGGTAGCCCATCCTCATTCCTTTTTGTCTTTACAAACGACCAGAATAGTTTTGGATTGCGTCGAAGATTATCTTGTATACGTCTTGAATAACTCTTGTAGAGAAAACGATTATTACAATCGATATTGATTACTTGCTGTATAACCTATTCGCTTTGTGAATTGATTGCGGGTTTGAGAGTACTTGCGGTGGCCTTCGATCTCAAAAGCTTCAAGTGCCTTAAACGACCGTTGGACCATGCAGGATTGAGAGCTGCCTAACAACCTAGTAGATCACGGCTTCACCAATGGAAGAGCACGAGTCAAGAAACTGCCGATTTGTCTGGGTAAGTAAGTGACTCAAAGCAGCAAAATCAGTTTAACGAAAGTCCAGGCTTTGGAGCTCAACGGTGCGTTAAATCATGCAGATTGAATACATCCAGAAGAACACAACAGGCAAGAGGTATGTACAATCGAAGAACGTTAGCCCAGATTGATTGTAATCACCAAATAGCAAAGCAAGGTCATTGTGATCTAATCGGGATAGCACAGCTCAAACCGAACTGATATAGTTCTCAATGCTGCTCAAATCAGATTTTCGATCTGGAGGTAAGTACATGGCGCCGATACTCATAGCTCAGTGTGGTGTCGTAATATTTAGCTACAACTGCTCAAAAGAAGTGCTGACCGGAGTAGGATCAAGGCAACTATTTAGTCGTTTGGATACCGCAATCAAGACTCCACAGCTTAGTGCTATCACGGTCATTACGAAATACCGTAAATAGTCTGCCAATTAGTTGAGATGAATTAATTCGGTCATCAAGCCAGGTTTCGGTGACAACTATAAAGTCAGAGACGATAGAAGCCAAGAAAAAGTAATGTAAATGTTCATTTCTTGAGGCGGCAGGCAGTGCGTTCTGGGTTGATAATCACGATTGAGATAGCTGGTATTTGATGCAATAGAATCTCAATAATTGTTGTCGGTTTTGTTGATGCTTACCGAAGAAGGTATTGTTTACGTTAGTGCCTTAGGTCCTCCGAATGGTATAAGAGATTAAAAAAAAAACAACAATATTGCTGCTTGCATCGAAAATTGAACTGCTCCAAAAATTAAAGTTTGATAAAAGTGCACGTAGGTCAAATTGTCTTGAGGTCTTCAGAGCACTTGTTGTTTGCATCGTAAAATGCTTTTTCGATTTACAACTTGCGTGCGTTACGTCTGTTTGTCTGTGCTAAAACGATTGCACGTAAACGTTCACTTTTATCACACTTTTTAATTCTAAAAAACGCGCTTCTTTAACAATTTAACATTAAAATTGTGCTCTCAATGTTTGCTCCTATCAGAAGCATACACGCAGAGAAATGATTTTTAAATTCAAATGGATATATTTTTGACTCAGGGCCTAATATATTTTTGGTATTGATTCAAATACATTATTCGGTTAATTCAAAGAAAAATATTTTTGAATCAACAAACCGGTTGTAGAGTCAATAATCTGTTTGTTGATTCTAAAAACCATTTGGTTAATTCAAAAATATGTTTTGTTGAAATAGTGATACAATATGTTTGAATCAATAACAAAATACATTAGGCCCTGAAACAAAAATCCATTTTTCTACGTGTATTTCTACGTTTTCTATTGAATCTTGGCTTATTTATATAAGTAAAATAATATTTTGATTAATTTGGCATAATAACTGTGTTAAGGCTTCCAACACACCCCGGCGAAGATTAAATTGTCCTGATGGTTATCAGTAGAAAAGAATATACATTATTTGGCTTTCCAAAACAAAGTTACTGTAATTGCAATTTATTTAGTCTAACGTAAATATGCCAACTGTATAATAATATAATAAAAACACAATTTAGTCCAGAAATAAGTCTCCAGTTATCTAGGAAACAGTCAAAAACTTTTCTGGTAAGTAGAAAACAACAGTCACCATTATTATTCGTCGCAAATAAAAACAACAAAACTTACGAATTTTTTGTGTTCACTTCCAACAGCAGCAGCACCAACCAGTCCAGCGTATGAAGATGTAGTTATTTACTCCACCACTACCACTACTCGCTGCTCTCGTGTCTTTCGATGTCTGCGATCGGCAATGACCAATACAAACATTCGCAGCAAATTTGCTCACACATACGCACACATTCGTACACCGCCCCGTCTGCTATAATGCGAAAGCTGTGAACCTTTTTTCTTCCTCCTTTCTCTCACTGCGGGGATCACTGGATTTTAAATTCACTTTTTACGGTTTAAATCCACCAATTTTCAATGCACTTTTGGATGCTCTCGGTGATTGCGTACGCAATTTCACGATTCACACACCACTCGCGACCGGAATCGACCAAATTCAATCAGAAAACTCGCGATTTAACAGCAGGTCGAAAAACACTACGACGGCGAGCGAGGAAAAACTCTTCACAATTTGGGTTCCTTTTTCGCCTCATCCATAAAATGATGATGATGATGATGACAATGTTTAATGATGTGTGAGTGTGGGAATGATAGCATGCATCTCTTTCTAGCTAGTAAAATTTATCGAGGCAATGCTCTTGCAAGAAACAGAGCGCACTATATGATCTGCTAATCACAGTTTTCGCCCGCTTTTCAGAAACGTCAGACGGAAGCAAGGGGTCCAGCAACGTGAACCTTTTATTTTAGATCAAAAATGTATAGAATCCACTGTACTGGTGAGAGGGAAAATTAAATTTTGATCCGGTCGCACCACTAACAAAACAAACATGAAACCTAGGGGAAGGACAGCTCCAAGTATCGGCATCAATACCGATGGTGGAAATATTAAATATCTTAATATGTGTGATATATGTGAATCTTATACTTAGTCTGACAGTTGTTTGATTGTGTTTGACTATGTTTGGTTTTAAGTGTACATTTGACATTCGTTTAATCAAAAATGGATTTCACACGAAAGGGAAGTCATTCCTTGATGATCTTGCTGGCCACCGCCACCGAGATCCACTCCTTGTTCTAATAAATTCGGTCGCACTTCCGTTCCCAGGAAATAGCCATTAATTTCCACGTCTGCGAATCAATGTACTGTCCTCCGATGGAACGGGAATCGACTGACTACGCCGTCCCCGTAAACGGAGTCCCAGAGTGATGGTTCCGTGGTCGTATTACTCTCGATTCGCCATGAGCCTGTAACCTGGAGAAATTTGCTGCTGGGGGAACGTCCAGTGTCGTTTTTATCATTAAAATCCGAAGCCGAAAACGATCAGAGCTATCAAGAACGAAAATCTAGGCAAAAATGATGACAAACAGAAAGCTGCAGTAAACATAAACAACAACGGTGAAACGTAATTGAATGTATGCGTTAAAGTTACACTGTTAATTTTTTTTTTGCTTTGTAGCTTTCCGCTTGACAGTTAATATCATTAATATTTATACTAAAATCTATAATAATTACCATTTTGTGCAATTTTTACACCAAATATTACTTCAGATCAAGTTGTACTTCCCCTAGCATGAAACTTAAATTTAGCTTTTGCTCGAAAATCCATAACGGCCGATTCAAATGAGCAGCGATCCGATCTGTCAAAACCTTAGGCACAGACAAACATACGTAACTTTTTAAATGAATTTTCCTTTAAAATATCGTCATGGAACTCACTAACGACATTTCGTGAGCATTTTGCAGGAAAATGCTTCCCGGATAAAAATAACAATACAAACGCAACGAAAATGACTGTAACAATAAAATTGAAAATTATCAGCACACAATAGAATGTATCACATTTCTATCAATAAAAATAAAATGAAATAATCTGTTTATGACAATTGGTTCTATGGTATTTGGCAAAAATACAATAAATTCAGGGGGTCGTTATGTATCTTAACCATAACCAAATTGAAGATTTTCCATACATTATTTTTCGAAATACTATAAAATGTATTGTAAAACTATTGGGTAATTTTATTTGATGAGAACGCAAAAAACATTAAACAATTAGATAATTTAATTGTTAATCTTATACATTTTATGTACTGTTAAATTGGGTTCTTTAATTTTGAAAAATGTATCGTTTTTATACATCATCTGAAAGAGCTTCGTTTTCTGACCACAGCGATATTTTTTTCGAACCCACACACGTTCATCTCGATTTTTAAATCAAGATTTAAAGCAAAACAATAACTTCACTGTTTGACACTAAACTGACAAACTGACAGCTCGTTCCCATACAAAGTGACACCAAGGGGCGCTAATAAAGTGATTTTTGCAAATGTAATCGAACTTATTTAAAATAGTTCCACTTTACCAAAATTGATGACATTTTGGGTGTGGGTTCCATTTTAAATGCAGATTACGAATATGCATTTACCTCAATACTCTTAAAGAACCCAATTGATGGAATACAATAAAAACTATCGTTTTATTTTATTGTTTTTACCATTTTTTTTTTTACCGTTAATAGATATTTCTTTTGAAAATTTAACAGGTAATACTTTTGCTCTTTTGAATTCTTTTTTTTATTAAATTTCCATGTTCATGTTCCTTGTTCATCTTGTACCTTGTTCACAACGACAATCATTTGTTCTTAAGTCGACTTATAAAACAATTTTTATGATATTGTTTACATTTGTACTGTTGTCTATGTAACGGTTTAAAAATTCCTTTTAAGGATACAGGACAGAATTAACGAAAGTTACAATATAAAAAAAAAACTTAAAAAGACCAACAATTCAAATTACTCATTGGAGAATTTAAATGATGTAAATTAAAATTAAAAATTAAAATTGTGTCATTTTAACAGTTGTGATCATCTTCCCCAGTTGGCTGCTGATTCTCCGCTGCAATCTTAGCTGCCTTCCTTAGGTTAGCTTAGTATAGCTATTTTAGCTATCAGCAAGTAAGGAGATTTGTTCGATGTTGTGTACACCTCGGTGTACACCAACTTGCAGTGCAACTCGCCAAATCTCAAACAATATGGTGCATATAGGTATACATGCTCGATAGAATGTATAGAAACGTGAAAGTGATCCGATGGGGGATCATTCTCGTAACTAATATTTAAATTGAACGTTAAATGCGTGTACGACGATTGAGAAGATGTTTTGCATGTACGCTATTTTGAGGCTACTCATTTTTGAGTCGAAAATCACTCAGTCCAGCCAAAAGGGTAGTTACTCAAAAATGAGTAAACATGCTTTTACTCAAATTTTAGTATACTTGTCTATGGAAGAAACTGGGTAACGATTACTCAGGTTATGACATTTTTTACCCATTTCGGCCCTCTAGTTAAAGTATGGCCTACTGTCACCAAAAAACTGAAAAAAGCTGTTCGGTCGATGAAGCGGTGCATTTTGACGGTTCGATTGGAACAACTTTTGACAGACTCCATACTTTTACTGTAGGGCTTTAGAATGAATTCCCCATGAATGCTTTATATATCAATGCCGTTTGAGTAAGCATAGTAGTTTTGACAGAATGGTAGTAAATTTTATTATATTTATAGTCAACTATACCGAAATCATGGTAGATTTAACGGTTTTAAACGTAGTTATACCAACAATAGATACGAAACTAACGATTTTAAATTGGCTCACTACTTGACTAGCCTATTGGTCCCAAGCAAACGATTAACGTATCCCATTCTAGTCGAAATTCTAGTACTACGCAATGTTTGTTTTGATTCGCTATGAAAGTATGACAGATGAAATGAGGGGTTATTGGTTTTTCCTATGTTTCGAGGGGTGAATCGATTAGCTTTTAACCAAAGAGAGTACCAGAGCTGAGCCACAAAGTTGAGCACGTTATTTCGGGACCTTCTAGTCTTAGAGTTACCTCTATGGTTATACTGAAAATAAGTGTTTTCTGCAAAATAGTATTCCTAACTATTATCACAGACAAACAGACATAACACTCGCAAGTTGTTGATCGAACAAGTATTTAACGGTCAATTTGAAAGTATCGTAGTTGGTAGTACCGCCACCTGTGGCGCGCATGGTCAATTCCCTTGCGTTTGACGTTTACACACTACCGCCATGTGTTCAGCGTACTACCCACCACAGTGTACTCAACAGATGGCGGTAATGTTTTAGTGACGATGTTTTACAGTGAGAAATATTCAATGAGTTATGTCTGTTTGTCTGTGCTATTATCTTTGTTTCAGTGTAAAGCAGCGACGGTGGTGTAGTTGTAAGCGTGATTGCCTCTCGCCCCGTCGAAAGGTGGTAGAGGCTAGGTGTATGAGCTGCTGTCTCCCTGGCGTCGGTAGCATTGGTGCTCAACTGGGTACTGCGGAGTCGACCAATTTTATTTTGCAAGCCAATGGAAAACTGCTTGGAAATTTTCTCAAGTTTAAAACTGGTTTGCTCTTTCTCAGTCGATTCCCGCCAAAAGCTCTGAGCCAGGAGTGCTCGAGCCCCCATGACCCTAACAAAGTTTGTTTACATACATATTTCGCGAAAGTATGTTTTACTGTAATTGAAAACTATGCTGGTTTTTATACTTTCATCACTGAGCCTGTTGGTTTTTATCTTTGGTTAAGCTGGTGCTTGTCACTTGGGAGCCAGTGTGAACTGTCAAGCGGGAGCCAAACGTTCAGAAGCAGCAAATGCAGTTACTGTTCTTATCTACCGTCAAGCATTGTAATCTCATAAAAATGTTCTATACTTTTTCATAACACATTCTTAATTTTAAGCTCAAAGATAAAAACCAACAGGCTTAGTGATGAAAGTATAAAAATCAGCATAGTTTATATGCGGCAGCTGAGTTTTCAATTACAGTTAAACGTACTTTGGCGAAACATGTATGTAAACAAACTTTGATAGAGTCATGGGGGCTCGAGCACTTCTGGCTCAGAGCTTTTGGCGGGAATCAACTGGAAAAGAGCAAATCAATTTTAAACTTGAGAAAATTTTCAAGCAGTTTTCCATTGGCTTTAAAAATAAAATTGGTCGACTCCGCAGTACCCAGGTTTACACGTCAAACGACACAAGCCAAACTTCAAATCTTTTGTTCCCTCAGAAACTCAGCCAGGTTGTGGCGGCCATAAGCGATCGTAAAATACTGGATAAGCGTGGAGGTCGCGGGGGGGGGGGGGGGGGGAAGTGCAGTTTTAGAGCAAATTGTAAACAAACTCGGTCGCTGTCCCATACAAAAATCCAACATGGCTGAATCTTGAATTTGACACATTAGAAAACCTATCAAGTTGACAGCCCCTCGCCTCCCCGTGTAAAATTTTCAAACCATCATCACTCTCATAGTTCTTTTATTCTCCAGGAGTTTTAACTTTGATTTGCCAATTGGAACAGTTTTTTTTCAGTTTTATGGTGACAGTCGTCCATACTTTAACTAGAGGGCTTTACTCGAGCTATGGGTGCTCACTGTAGCTTTTCAGCTCATATTCCGATTACATAATCAGGAACATGTAGATACGAGACATCACTTATCAAGAAAAATATCAATAATATTGAAAGTAATCCGAATTTAATTCCTACTCAACGACTTGCACCGTGCAAAAAACATTCAAATTTAATAACACCACATAAATTTCGAAATCCGCGTAAAAAATGTATTTATGAGTGAATTGAGACACTTACATAGGGGAAATGACGGCTTCGGCATGACAGACTATTTTCGGCAACCCAAATTGAAACACTATTTTCACTGGATTTTCTTATGAAAACACTTCGTTGAATGCATGCAAACGATTCTTTATGCTTTCAGCTTCAATTTGACTATATTTTTACCACTGAGAAAACGCAATCTAGCAGGGTTTTCTTGAAATGAAACACACGCACTACAAATTGTAGCTGATTTCGAGTTGCCGATAATAGAACAGCAGATTTACATGCAGTTCAAATGGAACGGTTGCCGAAGAAAAACTGGTTGCCGACAATACTCGCTCTCACTAGAGAAGATTGGAGCTTTGTAAAAGCGTTTCAAAACAGTTTTTGACAATTCTTTCGACTGAAATTGTTAGAGCAGCTGGCAGCAAAAGATTGTAAACAAACCAATACTGCATATGTGTGCGTTCCGTAGAGAAAAAGGCTATAGAAAGAAGGTCGCTGCTTAGGTTGCCGAGAATACGTAAATTCCCCTAGGTAGACTCAGAAAACTACAAAAAAAAAAGCCGCGCAAAAAAAACCCCAAGCGGCTCCCAAGTGGTGTAGTGGTAATCGTGATTACCTCTCACCCCAGCAGGCCTGGGTTCAATCCCAGTCGGCGCCACCTTCGAAAGGGAAGTAAAGCCGTTGGTCTCCGGTTCATGATGGGTCGATAGGTAGGGTCCAGGTGTGAGAGCTGCCTCCTTGGCGTCAGTAGCATTGGTGCTCGCACAGAAAACAAGATCAACGGAAAACAAATCAACGAAAAAAACCGTAAGAACAGAATCCAAATACAACAGAGAGAAAAAGGTAAGTGATAATTTGAAGTACCTAATAACTCTATACCAAAAAAAAAGAACTACCTACGTAAATTTCAAAAAGATCGAATAAGAAAACATAAATATAGGTTCACCATACATTTCAAACTCTTCGTTTTTTGGATTTGGCTCTAAAGGTTCCCTCTGTAATTTACTTTCACTGAAAACAATGGTGGGTTATATTCGCTATGCATAAAAGATACAGATTTGAGTTATTGATAAAAGTTGTGGCTAATATTAAAACCAACAAAAGCTTCGTACATAACTCTACGAAATTCTATTGTTAGAAAAGGTTAGAGGTAAATGCATGTAAATTAATGCACGAAACTAACGGCGCCGGTGGTGTAGTGGTAAGCGTGATTACCTCTCACCCCAGCAGGCCTGGGTTCAATCCCAGTCGGCGCCGCCGGGATGTTCTGAGGCATAACATCTCTGATCACGCCTTCCTTCGGATGGGAAGTAAAGCCGTTGGTCCCCGGTTCATGAAAATACTAACAAACGCCGGCTGTCGAAGCACAAGGAGAACGAAAATAGAAAGCTGGTGCTGATCAGTGCACCCAGAAGACTGGTCAGCAAACAGATAGTTTAGATGAAAATAATGCAACTTATCAAATAGGAGATAATACGTTTTATTTGAAAAATAACAGCGGGAAGGGATCTAATTGTAAATCATTGTCATCGGCCCAAGCAATGCCTAATAGGCGAGGGGGCCTTATAAATAAACGCAAAACAAAATCCACTGCTGTGGGCCATCATCGTAACAACCAACAAACAAACGGTCCTTTTCAGGGCCACCAATTCAAATACAGAAGGAGTTAAGATAATAGATTTTCGAATAATTAAAAGAACTAAGAGCATACACGTTTGTTCCGACCACTCACGGACTTTGCGGTACATATTCCAGATCTTAGATGTAAAGTATTCATCACCTATTTCTCTTACCATCGGCCTATACTGATATAGGTAAGTAGTAATATCAACCGGTGGAAACTAACGATTTAAAATTGGCTCACTACTTGACTAACCTATTGGTCCCAAGCGATTAACGTACTCCATTCCAGTCGAAATTCTGGTACTACAATATGTTTGTTTTGATTCGCTATGAAAGTTTGACAGATAAAATGAGGGGTTCGTAGATTTTCTTATGTTTCGAGGGGTGCATCGATTAGCTTGGGACCGAAGATAGTACCAGAGCTTAGTCTTAGAGTTACCTCTATGGTAATATCATCATTCAGAATTTAATGTCACAAACAAACTTTTAAAATTACAGGTTTCTATAATCACTATTTTTTCATCAGCTACGCGGTAGCCGAACCAAACGATCAAAAAGACATACAAAAAAAAATAACGGCCCTTCTCAAGGCCACCATTTGAAAAACAACCGACCCTTTTCAGGGCCAAAAATTCAAAACGGAAAAAGTTAAGATAATAGATTATCGATCAATTAAAAGAACTAAATGCTCAACATATTTGTTCCGTCCACTAGCGGTCCTACGTCAAGCTTCCGTTCGTGTCCGTAGGCACAGACCTTTCTACTTTTTTTCCTCTGTGCATCTTGGTAAAATATTTTAAAGACGATTATTTGAATGTTTGAATAGTTAAAAATCTTCAAAGTAATACTTATCAATAGGAAGCCTTGCAAAACCATCCAGAGGACTTTACCGAAATCTTCGATCCAATCTTCACTGAAAATATCCTACCTTGCGAGAAGTCGCATGTCGCTAGTTAGTCAAGAATCAAGATACAACAACTCTTCAAACTTATCACCATTGACCATCAGTACCACGATATAAGGGGAGGAGGGGCATAGTGAACAGGTCAGACATAGTGAGCATCCCGCTCTGGCTCTGGATCTCCAGCTGCATGAAACAAATCAATTGGTAGTAGGTTTAATCTGCCCATAATCGCATATCAGTCCCATATGGATATGGATGATGATTATGATATTGATCCTACCACCAAACAATTTGTTCCGAACGGCCAGAAGTCCAAGCTGGTGCACGTGATGCTCACTATGCCCTTCTTACCCCTACACGCAGAAAAATGAATTTTTGTTTCAGGGCCTAATGTAGGGTAGATAACTACTTCGGCCTAAGCGCCCATTTTGGGCCTATCAAGCAGAAAACATCAAATAAATTCATGATTTCGGTTTTAACAGGTAAATTATGCGTTTGGTACGATACTTTAGTTCAAATGCTACCAAACGAAGTCAATAAGAACGCGTGATATGAATGTTTGTACCCAATATTTTCAAATACAAATGAAGCGCTCCGACCGAATCAATCTTTATCTTCATCCGATAGGCCGAAGTGAATTCATTGGCGTTTCAATTCAATGCGTTAGGCCGAGTTTAGAATCCGTAGGCCGAGTTTAGCGTCAAGAAGCAGTGTTAGACTTTTAACAATATCTCAACAATTTGTTTCTCTTTATCAAATCTTGCGGTATGTTTGGAAAGGTAATTAAATTTGGAAGCCAGCACATTCCGTTTGGTGCTAAACTACGCGAGATTAAGAAAGACTAAGTGCGGGTTGCGCTTAATACGCTGGAAATGGGGTAGTTAACCCTATTTTGTTATTGATTCAAACATATTGCATCACTATTTCAACAAAACATATTTTTGAATCAACAAAATGGTTTTTAGAATCAACAAATAGATTATTGACTCTACAACCGGTTTGTTGATTAAAAAATATTTTTCTTTGAATTAACCGAATAATATATTTGAATCAATACCAAAAATATATTAGGCCCTGAGCCAAAAACATATCCATTTGAATTTAAAAATCATTTCTCTGCGTGTACAATTAACAAAATGGCAATCATGAACTTTTAGATAATCAGCTTAAATGCTATGATTTTTTTTTATCAACGCACGTTTTTTCTGTGCCTGTCGAAATGAATTTCTTTCGGAATAAACATGCTAATGATAGCATGCACTTTTTGAAAATTTATTGAAACTTAAACCATACTTACACGATAAATCCTAGGTTTCAAGTGCATTAGTTATTTTCCCAAATCCTTCACTGGGGTGGATAGTAATTGTTACGTCCTCCAGTCGAGCCGGGCGGGTAATAACCACTATTGGGGTGCGGATGTGCGAAATGCTGCCAGACTTGCGGTGGAGGACCCGACGGAGGAGGCACTCCAGAATTGTAGGGAGGTGGTCCGCCATGCGGTGGTTGCGACGGCGGAGGACCTTGGTGCAAAGGGTAGATTGGATAATTCCCATAGTTCCCACTATGCGACGAGTTATCCGTCGTAATGTGTTTTGGTATAGGATTTGCTTCGATGTCAATGGGTGGTGGAGGTACAGATGTCTGAAAAGGGAGGTTTGTTTTTGCAATTTGATATGATTGATAGTAAAATGCATTCCGCGCTTACCTTCGGAGGTGGATTAGTAGGGGTTGGCGAACTTTTGATCGTTACAGGGGATATATTGGCTCGTTTCATCGGAGGAGATGCTTTACTTGGAGGTAGTTGTGGTGGGCTATCCGGAGGAGACTCGTTGTTGGGTTGTTGATATAGATCCAGAACTTGATGGCAAATGTCCTCCAAAATTTCCATCGTCACATTCTGGACAAACATATCCCACCACTTTAAGTGTTCTGGTTGCTTCCCAATCCAATCGGCCACGGTAAACTTGCTTAACTTACTAGCAAGATAAATCAATGCGACTGCAATAATTTCCGGTTCCCATTGGAGGGAGACAGTGGTACTTAGCGAATCGTTAACGAAATTCCATGCCATTTGAACCATTTTCTGAAGCTTAGCGCTGTCTCCTTTCAGACACTTGGCGTACTTTACTAGGAAAGAATAAGGATGCTCAACCTGTAAATCGAACTTGATCGTCTGCAGTAGAATACGCTCCAAGGTCATTACTTCCTCCTTCGGGTCATCCCCAAACGAGCCAAATTTCTGATCCGTCAATAACGACCGGGCCGTTTTGATAATATCCTTACACTTCTTGGGAGTCTCCTCCACCTTTCCGGCCAGGAACAGGCAACAGCAAGAGGTCACATACCGTGGGAAGGTTTTGAATGAATGAAACATGTAGAACCGATGAAAATAGACGACACCGGTGGCGACTGTGTTGTGCCCTAAGCCCATCGAGGTGCCGGTTTGCATGATGAATCTGGCTCCTTCCTTCCGGTAGCGGCGCTCCGCCTCAAAGTCGATTCCATCCCGAATGGAGGGTGTATTTCGGAGATCTTTCTTCTCGTAGTACCAGTTTGGCATGCTAAATTTTCCGGAAAAAATACTAAATGGTAAACGAACGCCAATAGACACCTTTCAGTAAAAATGAAATGGAATCAAAACAATGCCATTTTGGAAGTTTTGACGTTCCGTTTTTGAGCATCTTTTCTCGCATTTTAACTGTTATAACTGAAGATGGCCTGTGAAGCAAAAAAATATAGCAGAAGTAGATACTACACTGAAACAAGGACCATGTTAGGAATACTAAAGCGCCTGAATTTATAAAGAGACGACATGTCAAAATTGGAACAATCGATTATTTCAAGACCAACGATTGAAATGGCCTTAACTCCATTTTGTAAACAAACCTTGTAAGGCCGTTTTCTCGTGAACCGAAGTCCGCAAAGGCAAACCAACATAATGAACAGGTAGGGAAAATTATCCTCTACACGATTGTGGCTTAGGTTTGCGAATGAAGGTTTCGGTTCGCGAGAAAATGGCCTTACAAGGTTTGTTTACAAAATGGAGTTAAGGCCATTTCAATTGTTGGTCTTGATTTGTCAAATTCAGGCTCTTTAAGGAATACTATTTTGCAGAAAACATTTATTTTCAATATAAACACGCTTATTACCGTTAAATCTACTACGATTTCAGTATAGCTGAATGTTAACAAATTTACTATGATTGATATATATATGAACAAAACTACTATGCACAGAAACAAAATCCATTGGCAAAATTACTATATTGATGGTTTAAATTAAATACTCCCACCAATAGATTTGTGCAGAAACGAAATTCATTTAATTTTACTATTTTTTCTATCAAAACTACTATCATAGAGGTAACTCTAAGACCACTGGGTCCCGAAGAAAATCATTATTATTTTTGGCTCACTCAGTACCAGAACAACGGTCCCAAGCAGTCCCAAGCTATTTCACTCACCCCTGCATGTTCTGCATGAATCCACACACCCCTGATGTTATCTGTCAAACTTTCATAGCGAATCAAAACAAACATAGTGTAGTAATAGAATTTCAACTAGAATAGGGTACGTTAATCGTTTGCTTGGGACCAATAGGCTACTAAAGTGGTGAGCCAATTTAAAATCGTTAGTTTCGTATTGATTGTTGCTACTATGCCGTTTGAGTAAGCATAGTAGTTTTGACAGAATGGTATTAACTTTGTTTATATTTATAGTCAACTATACTGAAATCATGGTAGATTTAACGGCATTAAGCGTAGTTATACTGAAAATAAGTGTTTTCTGCAAAATAGTATTTCTAACTATGGTCTTTGTTTCAGTGTGCTTGCTCAAAATGCATATAGTAATTTCGATAGAAATAAAAGTAATAGTACGTTCAGACTACAGAGTTATAACATGTTATAGCGCTATCTTGATTGTGGTTTCTGTGTTACAATTATTTGACAACCGTTATAACATGTTATAACTGCTCAGTCTGGCCAGCGTGTAAAATGAAATGGAATTGTTTTCTGCAAAAATCTATTGGTGAGGGTAAACACAAAAAAATATCGTTGTTGAAATTTAAAAAATCGTTGGTACAATTAAAAGTTTGCGTTGGTTCTTCTTGGTAGAAAGCGGTTAGCTTTCGAAATAAAAGTTAGCCAACTGTTAAATCAAAAGTAGACCACTCACTACTTTTAAAAGTTTAAACTTTCAAAATGAATTGTACTACTGTCAAATCAAAAGCATCACTGTGTTGAAAATAAAGGGGATTATTTTTGATCCAAAACAAGCTATTAACATAACAGTTCCTTACTGTTACAATAATATGTACCATTTTGATTTAAAAAATTAATATTTTCAGTATGAATACCAGCATTTTCAATCATAACAATCAAATTTTTCATTTAAAAATCTATTGATTATAAAATTCCTGTTTTTGTGCTTCAATTTCAAGTTCCAAAAATAAGTTTATGTTTTTATATTGAATGTTTTTACAGTTTACATGATAATTATTAGATTTTTATATGGTTAGATAGACGTCGTATAGCAGCAGTCAGATTTTGAAAGACATCATCCATGTCTGTTGTGGTCCAGGACGGAGCAACAAAACTCAGTGAACTGGTGGCTTTGCTGAGGACATGTTCTATGTGGGAAGCAGCCAGCGAAGCGTCGTGGATGTAATCTAGAATGGTATATAGAAATTAATGAGAGTTTAAAAGTGAGGGGTAATCCGAGGGGCTGTCAACTTGAGTATTTTAGATTCATCTACCCGATTTGAAAAGGTGTATTTTGTATTTTCCATATATATGTATTTTTTAAGTTTTGTGTATTTTTGTATTAAAGTGTATTAAATGCTTTACAGGGGGTAAGTCACTCTGCCACCTTGTGACTGTGCTGATTGTGTTTCTTGTGTGTTTCAGGGTGTTTCTGTGTCGAATGAGCTGTCAAAACGTCAAGCGGCAACATACAATGTTTACTGGCAACCATGACTTCCACATCGCTGAAAATGACAGATCGTCGTTGTTTATTGGCGTTGACGGTGACTCTGTATACAGCTATAGCTCTTTACTCCTATGGTAAAATCCAATAAGCAAACGACAGTCTGTGCGTGATACATGTGGAATTTGTACTATCTTTCACTGACCCGAAAATTCCCATAAGTTGTAAAAGAAGAGACGATTTTTCGACAGTGCTACGACGTCAATTTTTCGGATCAAAACAACGGGCAGGAGGATTATTTAATCCCAACAATACAACCGCGGTCTGTGACCACCATCCGGTTTTCGGAGGTAAGTGTCGTAGTGATTTAATCGACGTACGAGATTTAAAATCGAAATTGATTTTTTTCTTCTTTGTTTTCAGCTGCGTTGGCCTGCAGACCAAAGAAAATGGGGAACAGACGAATTGATTAGGCTGCTTAGTGCCTCCACGAATGGCCATGTAAATGTCCTGGTCACCTCCTTGCAATGTTTCAACAAGTGGTCAGTCGTCATCCTTGGGAGTTTTGATCTCTATCATCACCATCAGTCTGTCGGCTCTGCTTCACGATGTGTCTTCTTAATTTCAGAAAATTACCGAACAGATAACAAAACAATAGTGAAAAATGTGATTATGGTCCCATATGGAAAAAGCAGGCATTGAGAAAATGTCCGTTGAAGTGCAATGCCCAGGTAAATATTTGAAAACATCATACTATTCATCATCATATTATTTGAGGTTTGGGTTTGATTCAACAGATGAGTTCTTAGCAATAAGGTAAAGGTAAATCCAGTGTGTGTTGTTCTCAGGCTTGGTCCACGTTCCATGATTCACGTTCATCCGTATCGCAGCACGTTCGGCAGGAGGAGTGCTCATTTCTTCATATAGTTACGGATAATCTAGCTCATTAGAGGCTGAAATGGTCTGCTTTTATAATGTTGAGCTTGACGTTGAATCGTCATCCCCAATTGTGGGAGTCATCATTGCAGCAATAGAGACCCTAAAGATGATGTAAGGCATTTCGAGTGTCCATATCGGAAAAACGGAACATTTCACTTTAAAAGCATTTTTGTGTTTAGGCTACCGAGTGCTTTAAACAATAACTATTGCATCAGTTTAAGCAGAAGAAGTAGTAATTTATTGCTTCTAAATACTATGATTTTTAACTCCGAAAACGGCGCACAGCCGGCAGAAACACTGCGGAATCTCCCCGCATCCGTACATCGAAAACTGAAACGGGCTGTTTCCGTATCGACCCAAACTAAGCAGAAACTTCTTCACCCCTTCCAACCCGTCCCGGTAGCTAGTGTGGTTATTCCCTATGGCGATTGTGTACAACAAGTAATGGATCAAATTCAAGGTCAACTTTTGTTTCTTCAAATACTCCAGGAACGTCTTTCCCTCGACTTCCGCTGCCTGATGCTCGCTCCCTTCTACTTCCCCTTCCCAACTTGCGCAACTCTGCAGAAACTTCATCAACAGTCGCTTCTCCACCACATTCACGTCCCGACTTGTAAACACATCCGACCTCGAACACGGAACCGTCATAATTCTCCCGTTCCAGATCGTCGCAACTCGGTCCACCGCTCGAAATTCCGCATACCGACCCTGATACCGACAGATGTTCGACGAAACAGGAGTCCGTGTCCCGATCAGATTTCTGTGGAATCCTACCGATTGCTGGAGGGTGATCTCTACTTAAGAAAAATGCAACAAAAACAAAAAAGAGCATCACACGAATGTAAACATTCTTGGCTCTAGGCAGTGCTGCCAAAAAAGATTGAAAAATTGTTCTCATGGTGATTAATGGGTGTTTGAGTGTGTCGAAGAGTGTTTTTGATGTGTTTAGCACAAGGTGGCAGAGTGACTTACCCCCTGCCACAGCATTAATTTTCGTTACCGAACTATCAGTTAAGTCAAACTGTCAAAAACTACTGAACGTTTGGTAATCCATTTGCATTCGGCTATATTAACTGGTAAGCTCAGTAAATGCAAACGTTATTTGCTTCGCAATTAACTGACAAGGCAGTTATTTTTTCTTAGTAAATACCGTGTAAGCCAGTTAAAAAAGTTTTTGTTAGTGTTGGAAGAGAAATAATAATTTCAATTCAATAACTATTAATTGCACAGAAGAAAAGACGTTTGTTGAATTATATTTTCAGCAGTTAAGGATTTGCACTGATGGATAATGATATTCTCCCAGGAAATAAACACCATCAGTGTTGTCTTCGCATAATTTCCCACGCACGTGTCTGGGGTGTCAATGCTTACTGTTGGGATTAAATCGTTATTTTGAAAAAGAATTATTAGCAATTATAGCAAGTTTTTCAATATCAATGTCGAGCTTACTTTAGTCCGTGATGATAAAACACACCTTTCTCAAATATTTACTGAAACATTTTTAAGAAAAAAAAAACCAATGCTGTGGAGTCGGGTCGGAGCCGGCGGCATTTTTGGTAGGTTCCGGGCTCGGAGTTACTTCCAATGGTGTTTTATCGGTGTAATAGAAAAAATACTTTTGATTTGGACATCAGATACTTCGAAAATGCCTCCGGCTCAGGCTCCGGCTCCGACTCGACTCCGCTGCCGTGGAAAAAATACTTGCTTCTGGATTTTCACTAAAGCTAAAGTGACAGCTTAGAATTTTACAATTCATGGTCAGTAAAATATGTTGAGTATTTTGACGGATGTCCAGAAAAAATCTATGATTACTTTGTGTACAGTAATTATAATTACTGACTTTTCGTACAATACTGAAAATTTATAACTTTCTGGCTTACTCAGTAATTACAAATTATGTGCTCAGTATTTTACAATAAACGTTACCGAAGTTCAGTTTGTATTTGCTGAATGTCGATAATTCCGCTAATTGGAAAATATTTGTTTTACAGTTCAAGCCCAGTTTAAAAAAATACCGAACAACTAAATGCTGGATTAGTGTGTGTGCAGTTTTGTTTTGTTTCGTGCGCAAAAGTTCAAAACAAATATATGCACCAATGAATCGAGCAATGGTTTGCTTTATGTCTTGTTCAGACTACAGAGTTATAACACGTTATGGCGCTATCTTGATGGTGGTTTCTGTTTGCAATTATTTGACAACCGTTATAACTTGTTATAACTCTGCAGTCTGTACAGCGTTTTATCTTTCTTTCTTCCGTTGTCCGCAAAATAAATCGGAATGTGGAGTGTGGAAAGCGTTTTGTGCTCATAATATTACAATACTTCTACCTAAAACAACACCATGATGACGTCATGCCTCGGGTTCGCGAGAAAATGGCCTTACAAGATTTGTTTACAAAATGGAGTTAACGCCATTTCAATTGTTGGTCTTGATATTTAGAATAAAAATATTTATTTTTGTTTACAAAACTGTGAAATCGAACAAAAATATTCACATTTATTTTCAACTTGAATATTTTTAAAATAAACGTACACACCAAAAAAATGTAATATCGATCAATGTAATTCAAGCTGATGTATGAAACAATGATGTAATAGCCGAGGTAATAGCAAAAAGCAGATACAATATTATACCCCGTTCACATTACAGCGTATATCACGTGATATACGCTGTCTCGAGCGCTGTCTTGCAATGAGCACTCATACATCTAGTTTTCACTGGAAACCCTATGTATGCGTGCTCATTGCAAGACAGCCTATATTACGTAATATAGGCTGTAATGTGAACGGGGTATTACATCAATGGATGTAATTTTGTTCGCAAAATCGATGTACATTGTACAACGTTATATTACACAACCGATGGATTGACTTGGTTGCAGCAGGTTGGATGTAATATTCAACAACTTTTTTTTCTGTGTATAATGATTTTTACTCGGATTTTTATTGATATCACATGACTTTAAACATAAAATACGTTTGAATCAACCCTATTAAACAAATACCATAAACGAACTGTATCCCGGATGGGTAAATTATCCCACAAATGGTTTGGCTGGTGCCCTGAACACGTCGTTAAGCTATCTTTTATGGTTATTTTTACTACACTAATAGAATTCTACACATTTTTATTGACGAATTTCCATGCAAAATTCCACATGATTTTCATGTGACCACACATAAACAGAATCCACCCAGAAGCACACACGAAATTTATGAGTCAAATGAATAGTATATATGGTTACACATGGCTTTTATGTGTACACATATTAAATATGTGTCCGAAACATCGATATCATTTGTTGATCACATTGCAAAAATTCATGTGTGGAACACATAAAAACAATCATTGAATTTTTATCAATGTACACGGATAGAAATCTCCTTATACCTTTTGGCAAATTTCCATTGCTGATTATTCATAAAATGTATAAGTCAACTAATAAGCAGACGCCTTGCAAAAAGTTAATAAAGATCATGTGTCAAATGAAATGTATTTACGGTCACACATACCTTTTATGCATTCTAATAGGACCTATGTGGTTTGTCTTATGGAATGTATAAGCAACAATCAATACGAAACTAACGATTTCAAAATGGCTCACTTCTTGACTAGCCTATTGGTCCCAAGCAAACAATTAACGTACCCCATTCTAGTCTAAATTCTAGTACTACGCAATGTTTGTTTTGATTCGCTATGAAAGTTTGACAGATAAAATGAGGGGTTAATGGTTGTTCCTATGTTTCGAGGGGTGAATCGATTAGCTTGGGACCGAAGAGAGTACCAGAGTTGAGCCAAAAAGTTGAGCACGTTATTTCGGGACCTTCTAGTCTTAGAGTTACCTCTATGGTATAAGGCTGATGCTTTGGCAAAAATGTATAAGTGAAACACATGAATTAAATAATTGATTTTCGTTTCGTGTAGGGAACCTATTTTATTTTTGTGGCCAGAACAAACAGAGTTTACGCTTATTTTTACCTCAAATATTTTTATTTCGATGATTCTTTTTTTCTGCGTGATATTGTTTGGTGCAAGCAATGGAAATATTTACCTTATTAGACAAAACCCAGGTGATCATGACGTTTGATTATTGAAAACAATTTGAATGAAGAAAACATACCTACTGCTTAGAGATTTGTCAAATAATGTAAATATTTACAGCGATTGCCTCGAAGAATAATTTTTACATTTACATTTTTACAAGAACAATTCAGTGCCAACATTTCAAAGGGGCGTAATTGCATTTGTAAACAATGGCTTTAGTAGTCGATTTCTCGTGAATGGCTCACTCATGAAAATGAATGACACCAGCACGCAGAGGGATGTTTCCTGTACCAGCTAATATTTGTAATTTAGAGGGGTGGGCTTTTATTTGCGAGAAATCGACGACTAAAGCTATTGTTTACAAAATCAATTACGCCCATTTGAAATGTTGGCACTGAATTATTACATTTTTTTGGTGTGTACATGAAAACTATTTTCGGTGTACACAATTCTAAAGTTTGGCCACCCTATTCGATCGTTTGCTGCAAGGGTTTTAGACAAGCGTGAAGTCGCCGTTACTTCCTGTCGGCTGTCAGTTGATGCAAATTGCTACAAGAGGCGCTGCTTTTCCATTTCCTATTTCTTTTACTTTGTGAATGGTGTCAGAGTAAGGTGAGTTTGGTGCTGCTGGTGATAAATTTCCTGCAAAAAGTGTAACTAAATGCAGCTTTTTCAGTAAAATAAGTTGATAATTTGGCAGTTATTGGTGATCCGCTAAGGGTGAGATATAATTGTTTGCAGATTCGGTGGAAATTGTCCGAGAATTTCGGCAGTTTACTGACGATAAACAGGCACATGTAAACTTTGCCAAGTGTCAAAACGCGTACGCAAAGTGTGTTGCTCGCTCGCGGTAGTGAAATTCGTAAGAAAAGTGAAGCTTTTGGGGTTCTGTGAAGAATATTGTTGATGTGTTGGGGATCTTCTATAAAAAAGATTGGTTAAAAGTTGTGAAAACTCGATTAAATTTCGCGAAAATCCCAATCAGTTCTCGGTCAAGTTTACTTTTCTTTGGCTTATCCGCGGTGAGTATTGTAATAGTTAAGTACATCCGTAAATTAGAAAACATTTCATATTTCAAGTATAAGAACTTTAAATTGGGTAATCTTTTTTATTCAAGTGAAACACGTCGAATATTCAGAAGCAGATCCCCAAAAACTAAAACTTTGTAGTGTCGTGTTACCTTTTTGAAGCAATTCGATAGTGTTTTAAGTGCGATGAGAGCAATGAACGACAATGTTGGATGGTTCAATGAAGGCAACTTGTCACTCAGGTTTTAGTTTTGTCGGTGATCGAGCCTCTGAAAATTTGACTGCTTCACTGTATTTAAAAATGCAAAGTACCCTACGAATGCCGGGGAATGTTTTCCCGTTTCTTTAACAAAATTGATTCTATTTTAGGTTCCTAGCAGATACAAATCAATAACAGCAACAACAGAGAGCACTGCAGAGCGAAAGCATTTGAATCTAACCTTAAAACAGTCGTAGTAACTACCTGGTGAATCTTGCTTATCGGGAAGAATGAAGAAGGCCGTTTGACCGTAAGTTACTGAATTTTGCATGGGAACGAGTTCGACACTCACGACGGTCTATAGTTCGACATGCTTTCAGCATTCGATAGTAGTTTGGGTGTATGTAAACATTGCCTCCACACGGTGATTTCTCCAGTGTTAGATTGACCGATTCTCCTCACTTCCGGAGTGAATTAGGACGAAACTAATAATACCATCAGAAGGGCGGATAGCATAACAAAACTACAAAGACTTGTAATTCCCATATGAAAAACATCGAATACTTTTAGATAGAGCTGGAATACGGGACTAACAGCGTCTGTAAACAATTACGTCTCTTGATGATTTCTCGCGTAACACTTGAATAGAGCCTATTAAGTTTTGCTTACAAAAGGAAAAACCTATAAACGTTCAGCTGTTCAGATTTCGGTAAAATTTTATAGACATCTGTGTGATAATCTATGCTCGTAGGAAGACGTTTCAATTGATCCTACGTAAAATTAATCCAAACATATTATTTTTAAATAAATACCCGCCTATATATTAAACCAAGAAAATGATCTTACGATGGTTATTTACTGATTACTTGATCATGGTAAAAGAGGTAAAAACTGCTTATTCACTACAGGCTGTTTTAAAAACTATTAATTTAGTTCTCTAAAGAAATATGTATAGAGGACTCGATAACATTGAAAAAAGAAAAGAAAGTCGACAGTTATGATAATTTTGTTTTTTTTTTTTTTTTTTTTTAATTCTGTCGGTCATAACGCCCAATTTTGAAAAGTGAGATGTTGATCTCAAAAATTTTATAAATTTGGAATGAAAAACTTGAGATCTACTTAGTGAATAAATTCCGCGATCTCACATCATCAACTAAAACTTTGAAGATTTTGTGATTACAGAAAATTATTTTGATGGACATTTTCAAGAATATAAGGCTAAATAAAAGGCTCAAGGTGTCGGTTTTTATTATTTCAGATTTGAAAACAAGATCTAGGTTGGTTTGGGCCTTAAAGAAATTTTCAGAATAAGGAATAATATATTTTTTAAATTGTGAGAATAATTCCTTATTCCTACACCCAACCGAGAAATATAAGATTCTATTCAGATGTAAAGATTCCGTTCTGTGGTCGTGGTCGTCGGAATGGTTTTAAATGATTTTGACATTATTTCAGCTAAATTTACTATGGCTAGAAAATCATCTAGTGAAGGTTTCATACGAAAATATTCGATCTGATAAAACTTGCTTGTACGTTATAGAATTTTCATTACATTTGCTGTAGGAAAAAATGCAGAGGTTATAAGTTGAATTTGTTGAAAGTTTAAAGATAATTTCAAGATAATTCTGCGGAGAATTGAAGTTCTAGGCAAAATTCCAAGCACTTTTTAATTTTTTTTTGTGATTCAATTATATGGAAAATGGAGGGGAATACCGTGGGAATTCAGAAAAGACTTGCAAGGGAATCTAATTCCCAGGGCAATTCCAAAGGGATTCTGAGGAGAATCCGGAGAAGAGTTCAAACTAAATGCTGAAGTGAACTAAATATAAGAAATTTCTTGAAGTATTCCAAGGAAGTGTTTTCAAGGCAATGTTTAGGAAAATTTCAATATCATTGAGAGAAGACTACTATGATAATTCTGAGTTCTACCAAGAGACTTCTAACAAAATTTTTAAGAGAATTTCAAGAAAAATAATTCAGCGAATTCGTGAGAATTATTGAATACATTTTTAATTTGAAGAACTTTCACTTATGTACATCTGGTATATTTGCAAACCTAATTTTAAAATATTCTAGGAATGTCTTTGTCAATTGCTGCAATTATTTCATAAGCCTTCGAATGTTTCTAGAAACAGAACATCTCTTCACACATAAAATCAATATTTTCGTGGTGTTCATTGGATATTTGAATAAAAGTTGTTGACTATTAATAACCGGGAAACTTTTAAGGTTTGAACCAATTTTTTTTTTGGGAATTCCAACATGAAAACACCCTATTCTTGTTTACGTTCAAACCGTATTTTTCATACAAGTTGTTTTTTTTGTATGGAAAATAGGGTAGAGGACTATTGCGCCCATTTCCGTCATATCATACAGAAACATAAAAAAATATTTCTATGATCTCTACGAGAATGAATCAATCATACCATACGTTCGGTACGATAGTTCAGTTCAAAAGCTACAAATCAACGTCTATATGAACGCATAATATATATTATGCATCCATTCTTCTTGAAAACATACGAGGTGCTCCTAGCGATCAATTTTTTCTCCCTTCATGTGTATGCCGAAGTGAATTTAATGGCGTTTCAATGTGTTGTGACGGAATTGAAATTCGTATGACGGCATTGGAGTTAAGACGTGTTAGATTTTGTCAACAATGTTATGTACTCGTTATTAAATCTAACGGTGCGTATGGAAAGGTGAACAAATTTAGAATAATTCATCTTTGATAGAAACATTCCATTGTTCGTTCAAATCCGATCGTAAGAGAAAGGTAATCTGGAAATTAGACCCTTCAGGAATCCATGTTTTTTTTTGCATCGATGTGCAGAAGATTTCTTGACTTGAGAATTTACAATTTTTTTTAAATCTCAGGATCCTAAAATGTTGTCCAAGTGTATTTTTTTTATGTCTCATTTACTCGAGCAATGCACACGGCGGTGATGTGGCATCATTCATCATGTCTAAGTCGTGTGGCTAACGTCGATATGATGTTTTGACATGTTAGCGGATGTCAGATTGACGAAAATATGTAAATTCGCCTAATCGATGGTCCGCTTATCGTATGTTGAATATGTTAAATTACCTTTAAATAAAGAAGTTATAATCAAACAAATTATTGAAATACACTCAGGTCTTTTTTACACGGGGGATATGTACCGTGTTTTTTTTTAATTGGATTTTGATGCCATTTGTAATTATAGCATGCTATGGTCCATATAGATATATTTTTAAAAATCTGTATTTACACCAAAAATAGTGATTTTTTTTAAGTATTCAATTCGATTACCTATAGCTTGAAACGGATAATGTGATTGGAATCAAGTCGATAGGTTGTATCGTTGTCGAGAAATCGTTAAAAACGTACCGTGTAAATCGCGACTCAGCGGCACTAACTGTGTAAAAAAAGACTTCAGCGTAACTGAATTTCATTAAATGAGAGGGGCCTAAGAGGTCTTCAATGTTTATCGATGTTTCTGTAAAAAAAAGTTGCAAAATCCAGGTTCTTAAAACTTTCCTTTTATTATTTTATTTTGCGTTTTTTTTCTAATCCTGAATCTCTTAATTAGGTCTAAATCAAGGACATTGATTTTTTGTTTGCTTGATCCAAGATCTTTGGTACAAACCCCGGGATTTGGAGGATTTTTTCTAAACTTTGTAAGTAATTTTTTTCAAAGCTTAAAATCTTAAAAATTGTCCGGAACCTTAAAACACTATATACCTACGTCTAGGATGTCATTTTTTAAAGGTATTACCTTTAAATCATTAAATGACCTTTGAAGTTTTTGTTGAAGTGTAAACCAGAATTTTGAAAAAATAAAATCAGTCCAGGATCCTGAAGTTTTGTTCAAGTCTGAAATAACGAAAAAAAAATTAGATGTCCTAGAATTTGGGGAAAACAGATCAAGGTAATCTTTCCAACTCAGATTAGAAATGTTATCAAAGTTTGAGATCTGTAAGGCGTTTCCTTGTAGAGAGTCCTTTTTCTTATCAAATTTCGCAATTTCAAGAGCATAAATCTCAAGATATATAAGGTTTATAAATATGTAATTGATTGCTTCTCCGCAGCAAACAAAAGTGGTAGTAGTTTCAGTCGCATATAATCACAAAATCCTTAATATGTTGAGTTGTGAAATTGCGGGAATCTTATACATATAGGTACCTATTTGTTTTCATATTCTGAGGGCAAAGTCCCAAAAATTTAAAAATGGTTCTAGGTATGAAATCATCAACATTTTTTTAAGGTTCTAGAATTTGAAATATGTTTCGAAGTTCAAAATTGAAAGTAATTTTCTATCCTCGGGATGTTTACATGAATTATTCTTTGTTATACCGGAATCTAAATGTCTTTAATCGGTTATAGTTGCTTGCAAACCAATGCATTCCACTATTATAGGAACCAAAGTTAGCTATACTTTCGTCTCCTCATTCATCTATCGTATACAAAAATGACTATTTTAAGTCTGTTATTTGAAACTTGGCATCTTCAACTATGAATTGAATTAATAGTTATTTTTATGAAATATAGGAATCTTTTATAAAACCTTAAAACTATCTTGGTAAACCGGGAATTCAAATTCCGAAATTCAGTGACCATTCTGTTACTAATATTGAGTTTACTGTACATTGTTATAATATCGAAACACCGGGATTCGTTATATCATATCAAGACCAACAATTGAAATGGCCTTAACTCCATTTTGTAAACAAACCTTGTGAGGCGATTTTCTCGCGAACCGAAGTCCGCAAAGACAAACCAAAATAATTAACAGGTAGGGGAAATTTTCCTCTAGCCGATTGTGGTTTAGGTTTGCGAATGAAGGTTTCGGTTCGCGAGAAAATGGCTTTACAAGGTTTGTTTACAAAATGGAGTTAAGGCCATTTCAATTGTTGGTCTTGATATTTTACGTACCAACTTGCAATAAAACGGCCTGATCGAAGCTGGGGTCTTGGGAATACCTCCATGACCTTAGTCAAATACATGGCCCAGAGAAAATTACTTATCGACGGTCATTGGGCGTTCGATTTCCATGACGCATCAATAACATATTTGATAAGTTACAAATCCGAAAAACAAAGGTCAATTGCTCGCTCCATCGTAGGCTGTATTGCTTTGTGTCTGCAGGATCCTGTATCAGTTCACATTAACGATAACCATAGATCCGACCCCTCGCTAACGCTGCCTCTTCTGTTCTAGCTCTTCGGCTTCTGACCTCACCATCACACCAGCAGCAAAATGCCGCAGAACGAATATATTGAGCGTCACATCAAGCTCCATGGCCGGCGGCTCGATCATGAGGAGCGCAAGCGTAAGCGCGAGGCTCGCGAGCCGAAGAAGCGCGCTGCCATGGCCCGTAAACTGCGAGGCATCAAGGCCAAACTGTTCCAGAAGCAACGGCGCAATGAGAAGATCCAGATGAAGAAAAAAATTCAGGCTCACGAAGAAAAGAAGGTCAAAAAGACCACGGAGAAGGTTGAGGATGGAGCGATTCCGGCGTACCTGTTGGATCGTGGTGTACAGTCCAGTGCCAAGGTGCTGTCGAACATGATTAAGCAAAAGCGAAAGGAGAAGGCTGGCAAATGGGACGTACCGATTCCGAAGGTTCGAGCACAGGCAGACTCAGAGGTATTCAAGGTGATTCGCAGCGGCAAAACGAAACGGAAAGCGTGGAAACGCATGGTCACCAAGGTCACCTATGTGGGCGAGAACTTCACCCGAAAACCGCCAAAATTCGAACGGTTTATCCGACCTATGGCGCTTCGATTCAACAAAGCGCACGTTACGCATCCGGAGTTGAAGGCGACGTTCCACCTGCCGATCATCGGCGTTAAGAAGAATCCCTCCTCCCCGATGTACACCAGCTTGGGGGTCATCACCAAGGGTACTGTGATCGAAGTGAACATTTCCGAGCTGGGTTTGGTCACGCAGTCGGGCAAGGTCGTCTGGGGTAAATACGCCCAAGTGACGAACAATCCCGAAAATGACGGATGTATTAATGCTGTGCTATTAGTTTAGTCGCTGTCCAATCACCTGATTCTTTTTTTTTTCTCATGTAAAGTCTGCATTAGTATGTAAGGTTGCGTCGTTTAGTTTTGTATGGATGTGAAAAATATAACTCGAGGTATGCATTCGTAAAATTATCCTAGGTGTTTTATTGTTTCAGTGGAGTGGGAGCTAGAAGTGGAGGTTTTTGGTACAGAAAGGTGAGTTCAGGTTTGGTAAGATAATAAAATGACAATCCTGTTAACTTGGAAAAGGTCGAAAATTAAAAAAAAAAAAACGCATCAGAATGCTATACCAGCCCGAATAACAATTTCCAAAAGTTGTTGATTTGCCTAACTTCATAAATATTTAGGCTGTGTTCAATTTTCAAATGAACCTACTATTGTACCAGACTTATTTCTGACAGACCAGGAATCAATCAGCACCTTCTCGAAAATCGGACGATCCAACATCAGAGGGATTTACGAACATTATAATTTATTTTCCAAGTGTCAAATTTAAGTGAACATTCACCAAATGGAACACAGCCTTAGCATTTCCTTCTTTAATAAATACAGTGATAACCTGATTTTCAGGGTTGTTACAGCTGGCGCGGATTTTCCGAAAGCTTATCAAAGAAAATGAAATCATTGTATTTTTCATCTAACAATTTTATTTTTATTCGGGTGATCATACCAACTATTAAAAATTTGTTGTACACTGGAGTCGCTTTTTACGCGGATGTACAGTAAACTTCTGATCAATATTGTGAAGAATAATGATATTTAGATGTAGCTAATGCTAACAAATTCTTTAAAATTATGTAAGTAGATTTTTATATCTAGATTCTTATAGCTAATAGCTGATAAATCTCATCTAGTTTACACAAATAACTAAAAGAAAGATAATTTGTTGCAGACAAATATCATAGGACTAAGTTCTATGAATAGTTAAAGATGAATGGAAGATGCTTTCATCTTACTTATATCTTGCTTTTCGAAAACTCACAACTAACAAAAATTGTTGAGTTTATTCCTAATTTTATTTCGGTAGGGGTAGGAGGGGTATAGTGGGTCATAATGAGCATTCTGTACTTTTGGCTTAAATTTCTAATGGTTCCTTCCCCTATTTGAGCTGTAAATAACATATTTTTTCTATGACCAAATTTAGCGCGGATTCAAAATCAAAATTTCTGTAACAACCCTGGATTTTGTGCGCATCAGGCTTTTATCTATCATTACTTTCACACAGGTATCTGTAATTCCAAATTTTTCTCATTAATCTTTAAAATAAACTTTGGTGTTATAATACCACTGGAAAAGGGCATGCGTTTCATAGCGCATTAGAACGCACATTGCCTACTATAGTAAATACACTGAAGTCGCTTTTTACACGGTTTTTTTTACTCGGATTTCGGAATTAACGCGGTTTTTTTTTACGCGGCACGTATCACCCGCGTAAAAATCGACTCCAGTGGATTGGGTCGGTAATATTTCCTTCTATATTATATATTAAGGAGATAAGATAAGATAGGAGTATTCCCTTCTTTGTTTATATTCGAGGATTTGGAATATTACTTTCCCTATCAAATATTTTTGGAGGGAACTAAAGGAAATAATATCTTATTTATTATATATGTTTGAAGTAGAGAAAATAAACGACTTCATGGTAAACCTTTTTGCTCCTAATATGCCTTGATCCATAACTGTGGAAATACTCATACCGATAAATATATAGGGGAAACGCACCTGTTTTGACAATATATTTGCTATGGAAAATTCGCCGAATGCCATTTCACCGAAAGCCTTTGTGTTGCTGAGTTTAAGGGGGATGCAGTTGCCCTCCCCTGCTCCCTCTGGCTACGCCTAGTGTTTTCATGTTATAGAACTTAAGTTGTGTTAACATTGTTGATCAAAATCATATGCACGGGATATACAAACGCAAGAAGATTTTGAGTCAATTATTTTCCCGAGGTATGGCCAAAACTGGTACATTTACCATAGTATTGACAGAATTTCGGTTTTGAACGAACATTGCTTTTGAAGTTACAAAAAATAATCTCCTTAAGCGGTTGTTACCAATCTTTCGGCCGTCTTCAAACTGTTTTTCAATAATTTGTTTTGAATGTAAAATGAATACTTTTTACTTCATCAATGTTTCAGTCATGTTTTTTTTTTTAACAAAAAGAGATTTCAATAATATTTTTGCTGTCCACTGTGCACTCCTGGCTGGCCGATAAGTTTTATATGCAACGGCTAATCTGTAACACATAAACGCATGCAATTAGCCATCTGTATAAGATTCTTCGGCTAACCTTCCACTCACATAAAATTTTGGCTGCCATACGAAAAAAGTGGTCGATTTTGGCCCATTTTTTTACTGTGTTCGGGCAATGTTAAATATTAATATATCGACATGAAAATGGGAGATTAGCCGAAAACAAGTATGAAGAACCAAAATTAAAAAGCTCAAGTCGATTTGTGTAGTTGTGTACTAGTTTCTGAGAAAACTTATCGGTCAGCGAAAAAAAGTGGTTCTGAGAAAAACGCGTTAAAACATTTGACTGTACTTAAAACCACCACGGTACCCTTTGTTTCAATACGCGACAAATCGAATACCGATTTCGCGTATCGAAAAACGCCTTAATAGGGGAATAGTATACACTGAAGTCTTTTTTTACACGGTTAGTGCCGCTGAGTCGCGATTTACACGGTACGTTTTTAACGATTTCTCGACAACGGTACAACCTATCGACTTGATTCCAATCAAATTATCCGTTTCAAGCTATATGTACCTAATGGAATGGCATACTTTAAAAAAATCTCAATTTTTGGTGTAAATACAGATTTTTTTTTAAATATGTATATGGACCAAAGCATGCTATAATTTCAAATGGCATCAAGATACGATTTGTTTTAAAATATTTAAACATGAGAAAAATCAAAATCTCGGTAGGTTTTTTTTCACACGGTACAAAAAAACCTAAGTGTAGTGTAAAGTACAAAAAAAAATGTAAACAACGATTTTTTGCAGAAAAAAGAAGAAGATTGGTAACGCCCCCTAACATACCAGTAGTAGTAGATACCGTAAAAGTGCCATTATTCCGCGCAGTTTTGAAAAATTCAAAAATTATTTTAATTAGTAGATACATTGAATTCAAGCTGAACATTGCATTAGGTCATAAGTAACAATTATCGATTCTCTTCATCGACTTTCTCTTTCTCTTTCTTGTTGTGTTTGTCGTATTAGATGCTAGATAAAAGCTTCTTTTATCGATCTGTGTGCTGAAAATACGTGGGAATATCTTCACATGGCCGTGGGGATACAAAGAGAAAGTCGATGAAAATAATCTGTCAATGTTACTTAGGACCTAATGCAATGTTCAGCTTGAATTGAGTTGACCTTATAAGTACACTGAAAAAAGTTTTCATATAGTTTCCATTGGGAACGCACATGATATTTTTCCAATAACAAAATTAATGATTTTTATCTGAAATTCAAATAACGTTCATACGATCACATGAATTGAATATGACAAATCACATAAACTTCATTGGACACATAAGGTTCATGTGATTTTGTGATGCGATTCCCAATTATGAGATCACATGAAAGTTAAGTGAAATTCTAATGAATATTTTCCATTGGAGATGTGATTTATTTTTTGAGTGTAGGTAGGTAGGGGGAGAAGGGGCATAGTGAGCATTCCGCAGTTTGGCTCTGGATCTCCAGCTGCATGAAACAAATCAACTGATAGTAGGTTCAATATCATTATGATATTGATCCTACCACCAACCAATTTGTTCCGAATAGCCGAAAGTATAAGCTGGTGCACGGGATGCTCACTATGCCCCTCTTACCCCTAGTAGGTGTATCTGAGAAAAATATGAATTTAGATAAAATCAAAACTGCAAAATGTAAAAAAAACAGCTTGGAATTAGGCGCTTCACGTTACTACACTCAAAAAAAAAAATCATGTCCAATGGAAAATATCCATTAGAATTTCACATAACTTGAAAGTTCAATGTGATCTCAAAATTGGAAATCGCACTACAAAATCACATGAACCTTATGTGATTTACCACATAGAATTCATGTGATCATATAAATGTTATGTGAATTTCAGATAAAAATAATTATTTTTGTTACTGGAAAAATATCATGTGCGTTCCCAATGGAAACTATTGATTCATATTGAAACATATTTTTTTAAATTGATATGATTTTAAATTGAGTTTGGATTTACTTAGGTAAATACGGCACAATAAGCGACGAACCTCATAAATAAAAGAAAATCTACGCAGTTTTTAACGACTGTCTACGTTTCATGTAAATCTTCAAAAAAAATGTACATATGATTATCAAGACCAGAGGGGGAGGGAGCGTTTACGAGAAACTACTACTACTATCTAATTGAACATGAATTAGAATATCAACTTATTTTGTTCGGAAGCTGCAAATGATGACAGACGATCGCATGCCCACGTGTGCATCCTATATTCAACCTTTTCTTCGCCCTCTACAGCATCCAGGATGCAGATCTTCGTCAAGACCCTGACGGGCAAGACCATCACCCTTGAGGTCGAACCGTCCGATACGATCGAAAATGTCAAAGCCAAAATCCAGGATAAGGAGGGAATCCCCCCAGATCAGCAGCGTTTGATCTTTGCCGGTAAGCAGCTGGAAGATGGTCGTACCTTGTCCGACTACAACATCCAGAAGGAATCGACCCTTCACTTGGTGCTGCGCCTCCGTGGTGGTGCCAAGAAGCGCAAGAAGAAGAATTACTCCACCCCCAAGAAGATCAAGCACAAGAGGAAGAAGGTCAAACTGGCTGTCCTCAAGTACTACAAGGTATTATCCTTCACTCCATGTCCCCCTTGGATGGCCCTTAATTTTGTCTTTTGTATTTCCGTTTCCCCATAGGTCGATGAAAACGGCAAGATCCACCGTCTGCGTCGTGAGTGCACCAGCGAGACCTGCGGTGCCGGTGTTTTCATGGCTGCCCACGAAGATCGTCACTACTGCGGCAAGTGCCACCTGACACTGGTCTACTCCAAGCAGGAAGAGAAGTAAAAAAAGGACCTGTTATCTCTGGGTATATTTTGCGTTGGTGAACAAGAATGCACGAAGAGATCTTCTTCTTCTTTAATATTTAAGGATTAAAAGAAAATAAAAAGGAAAAATCCACAAATAAAGGATTGATACGGTTTTACATTCCGTATTCTTCTAAATTGGTCATGTTCAATAATTTTTCGATGACACTGACTGATCTTACTTTTACTGGGGACGGTCCGGCTTAGCAGTTAGGTATGTAGTGTAGTCACTCCCCCTTATTCTGCGAGTCACGTGACTCTCTCACCGGTGAGGTGACAATTGTCACCTCGTGTGAGGTGACTCTCCATGCAAATCAAATGGAGAGTCACCTCACCGGTGAGAGAGAGTCACGTGACTCGCAGAATAGGGCTGACTATTCATTCCTCACGGGGTTTTACACATTTTTTTTTTATTCTATTTGTTCCAAATTCAAATCAATTAACCACTTCATTCGAGCAGTTAAAATGACGTTTACTACTACTCAAACTTTGAAATAAAACATTATTTTGAGATTTTTTCTTCTAGAACCACCAGAAAAGTAGCCATCATTTGTGCGTTTCATAAAAAAATAGAAATAAGTTGGTCCAGTTTTGTGAAATCGCCGCTGGTTGAAAGTCACGCCAAAACTGCTTGACAAACGGGTTTTCTCTTGTCTTGATAAAATTTACAGGGTGGCAAGTGAACCAGGAAAAAGTCGGGATGTTATTTTCACCAAGGTTGGGAATTTTAAAAATTTACCATGAAAATAATCTTGTTTCTATAATTCTAGATAGAGCAGGAATTGAGGCGTAAACAATGACTTCTATCGATGATTTCTAGGAATTCAAGGCACGTCCACGCATACCAACCTTAACATCGAATAGGGAAAGTCTTTCCCTACCCGCTGAGGATGTTGGTTTGCGTGGGCAAGCCTTGAATTTCTAGAAATCATCAAGAGAAGTCATTGTTTACAAAAGCTGTTAGGCCGTTCACAATGCTGAGTTTCAAAATTGTTTTAAACGACAATTCTATAATTTGAAACTGTCAAAAATAAAACTGCAACACGATCAGCGCAATAACGGCGCCGGTGGTGTAGTGGTAAGCGTGATTACCTCTCACCCCAGCAGGCCTGGGTTCAATCCCAGTCGGCGCCGCCGGGATGTTCTGAGGAATAACATCTCTGATCACGCCTTCCTTCGGAAGGGAAGTAAAGCCGTTGGTCCCCGGTTCATGAGTTGATGGGTCGATAAGTAGGGTCCAGGTGTGGGAGCTGCCTTCCTCGCGTCGGTCGCATTGGTGCTCAGCACGGAAAACAAGATCGACGGAAAACAAATCAAGGAAAACAAACGATCAGCGCAACGCACAGTTCTAAAAGATTTTTGTAATCATCATGTTCCATGAATTTTACTATTCTCTATGAAGTTCTCCGTTTTTTTTGTGAAGTTCTTCGAAACATCTTTAAATATATCCAAAGAAATTTGAAACAGAGTTCCATTCGTGTTTCAAACTCGCTCAGAAATAAAACAGAATAGTCGAGCAGTTGCAAATCTGGTGCAAAATAGTGCTCGAATAATGAAACTGCAACTCAGCATTGCGAAAGGTGCGTTTCTGTTTTCAAATTGAAACAGTCCTTATAAAATACAACAGCATTGCGAACGACCTCCTCCGTATTACCAAGAATGCCGCAGTGGCCAGGAATCCATACAAATGTTGTGTTCTGTGGGCATATCGCTGAATGGCTTGGATCCATGAGTGCTTAATAGAGTCTGAGTTGAGGGCTAAAACTACACTTGCGGAGTCCGTAAATACGGCAATCGGCTTGTTTGAGGGAGCGGTAGCAGCAATAAAAGCAGAGACCGCTTCTGCCGAGAATATAGTGTACTGGTCTGGAAGTCGATGTAGTACGGACATTTGGGGGCCCGTGATGCCGATGCCAACCCCTTCACGGGAAACCGATCCATCGGAGTAACGGATAGTGTGGTTGCAGTATCTGGTTCTCTGGAGTTCCGCGACGGATCTCACAAGTGCCGTAGAGTTGGATCCTGCCTTGAACTTCTTCTTTATCGCCAAGTCGATAATGGGCCCGCGCAGGTTCCAATCTCTGGTTCCACACCAATGTATGCTAGGCACCGAGGGAAGCTCCAGATTGGCGGTGGCTGAAAGGAGTTGTTTGGCCTCGCTAAGGAGGAAAACTCCTTCATATGAGCCAGCTGTCTTCTCCTCGAAGCAAATTGATCGGTTACAGATGGTCTGAGTAACTAGAAGGTTGAATGGTATTACTCCACTTTCCACGCAAGCTGCAATTGCAGGCGTCGATGGTAGTAGGCCGGATGAGATACGGATAGCTTGGTGATATGTAGAGGCTAGTTTCGTAATAAGTTGTTCGCGAGCGAGACAGGTAACTTCGATTTCATAAAGGAGACGTGATTCTAAAATTGTTCTAGCAACTCGAAGACGAATGGACCGGTTACTGTCTGGGTGTCGACCTGCGATGGATCGTAGCAGATTAAGGCGTGTCTTGCAGGCGTTCTTGACTTCGTCGAAGTGGGCAGAAAAGGTCGAATATCGGTCAATTCGAACTCCGAGGATACGGGCTGACCTCCTGATGGGAATAGCTGTACCATTGATACAGATGGGAGTGTTAAGGACGGCATGATGGTGAGAGCAGATGTGCACTAGTGTGCATTTTTCGGCTGAGAGTTGGAAGCCAGTCAGTGATGTCCACAGGGAGACTGCCCTTGTGGCAGCGCCCATCTTTCTACGTAGTGCCTTTATGGTTTTGTGAGTGATCAGGAGGATAATGTCGTCTGCGTACCCAAAGATGTAAATTTCCTTAGGAAGGTTAGCGTTAGCGTTAGCGTTGTTATGATATACTTCGTAGATTGGATACTAGCGACACAGATGTAAATTTCCTTAGGAAGGTTAACGAAAACTCCATTCATACAAATTAAGAAAAGGGTGACCGTGATAACCGAACCCTGTGGTACGCCAGTCTCCTCTCGGAATGTTGCGGAACGGTGGTTTCCCAGAAGTACCTGAAAGGTGCGGTTTGCCAAGAAATTCTTCACGAAATGCATCAGGTGCCCGCCAAGGCCCCAATCAGCCATTTGTCGGATGACATCTGGCATCCAAGCTCTATTATATGCTTTTGCTATGTCTAAAGCTACCAGTTCGACGTGGTGCCCGCTCGAGGTAGCGTCATCTAGGGCTTGGGCAAGTGTGGCGAAGTACGTGTTTGTACCGTGTCCTGGACGAAAGGCGTGTTGACGGTGGTCAAGTAGGTCCCTGGATTCTAGAAAGTTCATCAGTCGTCTATTTACCATCCTTTCCACGATTTTGGAGGCACAGCATGTGAGGGAGATCGGCCTGAAATCACTAGCTTGTCTGCCTGGCTTTCCTTGCTTGAGGATCGGGACCACGAGACTGTGCTTCCAATCCTGAGGCAGGGAGTTGTGCAGCCACTCCTGGTTGATTAGATCTAGAAGCTTGCGTCTTCCTTCTGATGGTAGATTCCGGAGCAAAGGATAGCCCACCTCGTCCGGGCCCGCAGAATTGCCTTTAGCCTTTGATAAGGCTAGAGCGAGCTCGTTCATCCGGAAGGGTTCGTTTATTTCCGGCACAATTGTTTTCTCTGGAATTGGCATGCTGGCTATGGGGGGTGTCGAAGCAACTTTTTTTCCTACGGAAGCGTTCTTCGTAGCCTTCTATGGCTGATAGAGAGGCAAAGTATTCTCCAAGCACATCGGCAATAGTTTCTGAATCGCGGGTAATTCCTCCTTCATATTTAAGTGCGATTCCCCGGTTTTTTCTCTTCCCACTTAAAGCATTAACCTCCCCACAGATCAGCTGCCGATTGGTTTGGGCTGATTTCGTTGAGAAAGTTCTCCCAACTTTGGGTTTTCGCATCGCGTATAGTTTGCCGACATTCGTTCCTTTTTGCACGGTAGTGAGCCAAAGCAACCTCCTTGTCGGTGGTTTTTATTTAATCGCTTGGCGGCACGAAGAGCCTTTCTCCTGGTTTTCACAGCAATTTTTGTGTTTGTCCCCCACCACAGAAGGGCTTTTCGTCCTGGGATGGTACTAGATCGAGGAATAGTGTCTGTTGCCGCTTGAAAAATCGAACCGATGTAGTCCGAGAGGTTGGTCGGTTCGGATTCTCTGCAGGTACCGGTGATTGCCTCTTGATAACTTGTCCAATCTGCTTGATTGTACATCCAGCGTGGTCTACGAGAGGCTTCGGTTGGTCTACAGTCGAGTCGGATTTCAATGGGGTGGTGGTCGCTACCCATCGGGTCTTCCATGACCTTCCATAGAAGGCGATGGATTGTTCCTGAGCTGGCGAAAGACACGTCAATTGCGGATTCCCTTTGTCCACTTATGAAGGTTGTGGATCCATCATTTAGAGGAGTTAGATCAACAGTTTCAGCCGCTTCCAGGACATCGATGCCCCTGCGGTTGTTTAGAGGGCTGCCCCATGCTTGGTGATGGCCGTTTACATCACCCAGGAGAAGTATTGGGCCGTCGATGGAGCGGAGTAGGTCAATTAACTTTCCTTTAAGTCCAGGGATCTTCTGACAGGGAAGGTAAACAGAGATTACAGTGACTGCTAGCGGATATTCGAGTCTTATAGCAGCCACAGGTAGCTCAGTAGATAGCGGAGTGGTGGTGAAGAGAAGAGTTGCTTTGATTCCGATAGCAGTGCCTTGGCGAGTATTGTGGTTGGTTCCCAACACCCAACGATATTGTCCCGCGAGAGTCCGGTCCATTCTACACGCAGAAAAAAATATTTTAAACGTAATAATATCTGACGTAAATTTAATAAGAATTTCATTTTGTTTTGGCTGCAAAATGAAATCATTATTATTTCAACAATCCAGTATCTTTGTTTTTAAAAACCCATGGATTGTTAAATCAAAAAGAAAATCTTTTCGAATTTACAAGAGCTTTTATGGTTTTGACGTAAGCTGTCAAATTTGGCAGCAATGTTTCAGTCATGTTTTTTTTTAACAAAAAGAGATTTCAATAATATTTTTGCTGTCCACTGTGCACTCCTGGCTGGCCGATAAGTTTTATATGCAACGGCTAATCTGTAACACATAAACGCATGCAATTAGCAATCTGTATAAGATTCTTCGGCTAACCTTCCACTCACATAAAATTTTGGCTGCCATACGAAAAAAGTGGTCGATTTTGGCCCATTTTTTTACTGTGTTCGGGCAATGTTAAATATTAATATATCGACATGAAAATGGGAGATTAGCCGAAAACAAGTATGAAGAACCAAAATTAAAAAGCTCAAGTCGATTTGTGTAGTTGTGTACTAGTTTCTGAGAAAACTTATCGGTCAGCGAAAAAAAGTGGTTCTGAGAAAAACGCGTTAAAACATTTGACTGTACTTAAAACCACCACGGTACCCTTTGTTTCAATACGCGACAAATCGAATACCGATTTCGCGTATCGAAAAACGCCTTAATAGGGGAATAGTATACACTGAAGTCTTTTTTTACACGGTTAGTGCCGCTGAGTCGCGATTTACACGGTACGTTTTTAACGATTTCTCGACAACGGTACAACCTATCGACTTGATTCCAATCAAATTATCCGTTTCAAGCTATATGTACCTAATGGAATGGCATACTTTAAAAAAATCTCAATTTTTGGTGTAAATACAGATTTTTTTTAAATATGTATATGGACCAAAGCATGCTATAATTTCAAATGGCATCAAGATACGATTTGTTTTAAAATATTTAAACATGAGAAAAATCAAAATCTCGGTAGGTTTTTTTTCACACGGTACAAAAAAACCTAAGTGTAGTGTAAAGTACAAAAAAAAATGTAAACAACGATTTTTTGCAGAAAAAAGAAGAAGATTGGTAACGCCCCCTAACATACCAGTAGTAGTAGATACCGTAAAAGTGCCATTATTCCGCGCAGTTTTGAAAAATTCAAAAATTATTTTAATTAGTAGATACATTGAATTCAAGCTGAACATTGCATTAGGTCATAAGTAACAATTATCGATTCTCTTCATCGACTTTCTCTTTCTCTTTCTTGTTGTGTTTGTCGTATTAGATGCTAGATAAAAGCTTCTTTTATCGATCTGTGTGCTGAAAATACGTGGGAATATCTTCACATGGCCGTGGGGATACAAAGAGAAAGTCGATGAAAATAATCTGTCAATGTTACTTAGGACCTAATGCAATGTTCAGCTTGAATTGAGTTGACCTTATAAGTACACTGAAAAAAGTTTTCATATAGTTTCCATTGGGAACGCACATGATATTTTTCCAATAACAAAATTAATGATTTTTATCTGAAATTCAAATAACGTTCATACGATCACATGAATTGAATATGACAAATCACATAAACTTCATTGGACACATAAGGTTCATGTGATTTTGTGATGCGATTCCCAATTATGAGATCACATGAAAGTTAAGTGAAATTCTAATGAATATTTTCCATTGGAGATGTGATTTATTTTTTGAGTGTAGGTAGGTAGGGGGAGAAGGGGCATAGTGAGCATTCCGCAGTTTGGCTCTGGATCTCCAGCTGCATGAAACAAATCAACTGATAGTAGGTTCAATATCATTATGATATTGATCCTACCACCAACCAATTTGTTCCGAATAGCCGAAAGTATAAGCTGGTGCACGGGATGCTCACTATGCCCCTCTTACCCCTAGTAGGTGTATCTGAGAAAAATATGAATTTAGATAAAATCAAAACTGCAAAATGTAAAAAAAACAGCTTGGAATTAGGCGCTTCACGTTACTACACTCAAAAAAAAAAATCATGTCCAATGGAAAATATCCATTAGAATTTCACATAACTTGAAAGTTCAATGTGATCACAAAATTGGAAATCGCACTACAAAATCACATGAACCTTATGTGATTTACCACATAGAATTCATGTGATCATATAAATGTTATGTGAATTTCAGATAAAAATAATTATTTTTGTTACTGGAAAAATATCATGTGCGTTCCCAATGGAAACTATTGATTCATATTGAAACATATTTTTTTAAATTGATATGATTTTAAATTGAGTTTGGATTTACTTAGGTAAATACGGCACAATAAGCGACGAACCTCATAAATAAAAGAAAATCTACGCAGTTTTTAACGACTGTCTACGTTTCATGTAAATCTTCAAAAAAAATGTACATATGATTATCAAGACCAGAGGGGGAGGGAGCGTTTACGAGAAACTACTACTACTATCTAATTGAACATGAATTAGAATATCAACTTATTTTGTTCGGAAGCTGCAAATGATGACAGACGATCGCATGCCCACGTGTGCATCCTATATTCAACCTTTTCTTCGCCCTCTACAGCATCCAGGATGCAGATCTTCGTCAAGACCCTGACGGGCAAGACCATCACCCTTGAGGTCGAACCGTCCGATACGATCGAAAATGTCAAAGCCAAAATCCAGGATAAGGAGGGAATCCCCCCAGATCAGCAGCGTTTGATCTTTGCCGGTAAGCAGCTGGAAGATGGTCGTACCTTGTCCGACTACAACATCCAGAAGGAATCGACCCTTCACTTGGTGCTGCGCCTCCGTGGTGGTGCCAAGAAGCGCAAGAAGAAGAATTACTCCACCCCCAAGAAGATCAAGCACAAGAGGAAGAAGGTCAAACTGGCTGTCCTCAAGTACTACAAGGTATTATCCTTCACTCCATGTCCCCCTTGGATGGCCCTTAATTTTGTCTTTTGTATTTCCGTTTCCCCATAGGTCGATGAAAACGGCAAGATCCACCGTCTGCGTCGTGAGTGCACCAGCGAGACCTGCGGTGCCGGTGTTTTCATGGCTGCCCACGAAGATCGTCACTACTGCGGCAAGTGCCACCTGACACTGGTCTACTCCAAGCAGGAAGAGAAGTAAAAAAAGGACCTGTTATCTCTGGGTATATTTTGCGTTGGTGAACAAGAATGCACGAAGAGATCTTCTTCTTCTTTAATATTTAAGGATTAAAAGAAAATAAAAAGGAAAAATCCACAAATAAAGGATTGATACGGTTTTACATTCCGTATTCTTCTAAATTGGTCATGTTCAATAATTTTTCGATGACACTGACTGATCTTACTTTTACTGGGGACGGTCCGGCTTAGCAGTTAGGTATGTAGTGTAGTCACTCCCCCTTATTCTGCGAGTCACGTGACTCTCTCACCGGTGAGGTGACAATTGTCACCTCGTGTGAGGTGACTCTCCATGCAAATCAAATGGAGAGTCACCTCACCGGTGAGAGAGAGTCACGTGACTCGCAGAATAGGGCTGACTATTCATTCCTCACGGGGTTTTACACATTTTTTTTTTATTCTATTTGTTCCAAATTCAAATCAATTAACCACTTCATTCGAGCAGTTAAAATGACGTTTACTACTACTCAAACTTTGAAATAAAACATTATTTTGAGATTTTTTCTTCTAGAACCACCAGAAAAGTAGCCATCATTTGTGCGTTTCATAAAAAAATAGAAATAAGTTGGTCCAGTTTTGTGAAATCGCCGCTGGTTGAAAGTCACGCCAAAACTGCTTGACAAACGGGTTTTCTCTTGTCTTGATAAAATTTACAGGGTGGCAAGTGAACCAGGAAAAAGTCGGGATGTTATTTTCACCAAGGTTGGGAATTTTAAAAATTTACCATGAAAATAATCTTGTTTCTATAATTCTAGATAGAGCAGGAATTGAGGCGTAAACAATGACTTCTATCGATGATTTCTAGGAATTCAAGGCACGTCCACGCATACCAACCTTAACATCGAATAGGGAAAGTCTTTCCCTACCCGCTGAGGATGTTGGTTTGCGTGGGCAAGCCTTGAATTTCTAGAAATCATCAAGAGAAGTCATTGTTTACAAAAGCTGTTAGGCCGTTCACAATGCTGAGTTTCAAAATTGTTTTAAACGACAATTCTATAATTTGAAACTGTCAAAAATAAAACTGCAACACGATCAGCGCAATAACGGCGCCGGTGGTGTAGTGGTAAGCGTGATTACCTCTCACCCCAGCAGGCCTGGGTTCAATCCCAGTCGGCGCCGCCGGGATGTTCTGAGGAATAACATCTCTGATCACGCCTTCCTTCGGAAGGGAAGTAAAGCCGTTGGTCCCCGGTTCATGAGTTGATGGGTCGATAAGTAGGGTCCAGGTGTGGGAGCTGCCTTCCTCGCGTCGGTCGCATTGGTGCTCAGCACGGAAAACAAGATCGACGGAAAACAAATCAAGGAAAACAAACGATCAGCGCAACGCACAGTTCTAAAAGATTTTTGTAATCATCATGTTCCATGAATTTTACTATTCTCTATGAAGTTCTCCGTTTTTTTTGTGAAGTTCTTCGAAACATCTTTAAATATATCCAAAGAAATTTGAAACAGAGTTCCATTCGTGTTTCAAACTCGCTCAGAAATAAAACAGAATAGTCGAGCAGTTGCAAATCTGGTGCAAAATAGTGCTCGAATAATGAAACTGCAACTCAGCATTGCGAAAGGTGCGTTTCTGTTTTCAAATTGAAACAGTCCTTATAAAATACAACAGCATTGCGAACGACCTCCTCCGTATTACCAAGAATGCCGCAGTGGCCAGGAATCCATACAAATGTTGTGTTCTGTGGGCATATCGCTGAATGGCTTGGATCCATGAGTGCTTAATAGAGTCTGAGTTGAGGGCTAAAACTACACTTGCGGAGTCCGTAAATACGGCAATCGGCTTGTTTGAGGGAGCGGTAGCAGCAATAAAAGCAGAGACCGCTTCTGCCGAGAATATAGTGTACTGGTCTGGAAGTCGATGTAGTACGGACATTTGGGGGCCCGTGATGCCGATGCCAACCCCTTCACGGGAAACCGATCCATCGGAGTAACGGATAGTGTGGTTGCAGTATCTGGTTCTCTGGAGTTCCGCGACGGATCTCACAAGTGCCGTAGAGTTGGATCCTGCCTTGAACTTCTTCTTTATCGCCAAGTCGATAATGGGCCCGCGCAGGTTCCAATCTCTGGTTCCACACCAATGTATGCTAGGCACCGAGGGAAGCTCCAGATTGGCGGTGGCTGAAAGGAGTTGTTTGGCCTCGCTAAGGAGGAAAACTCCTTCATATGAGCCAGCTGTCTTCTCCTCGAAGCAAATTGATCGGTTACAGATGGTCTGAGTAACTAGAAGGTTGAATGGTATTACTCCACTTTCCACGCAAGCTGCAATTGCAGGCGTCGATGGTAGTAGGCCGGATGAGATACGGATAGCTTGGTGATATGTAGAGGCTAGTTTCGTAATAAGTTGTTCGCGAGCGAGACAGGTAACTTCGATTTCATAAAGGAGACGTGATTCTAAAATTGTTCTAGCAACTCGAAGACGAATGGACCGGTTACTGTCTGGGTGTCGACCTGCGATGGATCGTAGCAGATTAAGGCGTGTCTTGCAGGCGTTCTTGACTTCGTCGAAGTGGGCAGAAAAGGTCGAATATCGGTCAATTCGAACTCCGAGGATACGGGCTGACCTCCTGATGGGAATAGCTGTACCATTGATACAGATGGGAGTGTTAAGGACGGCATGATGGTGAGAGCAGATGTGCACTAGTGTGCATTTTTCGGCTGAGAGTTGGAAGCCAGTCAGTGATGTCCACAGGGAGACTGCCCTTGTGGCAGCGCCCATCTTTCTACGTAGTGCCTTTATGGTTTTGTGAGTGATCAGGAGGATAATGTCGTCTGCGTACCCAAAGATGTAAATTTCCTTAGGAAGGTTAGCGTTAGCGTTAGCGTTGTTATGATATACTTCGTAGATTGGATACTAGCGACACAGATGTAAATTTCCTTAGGAAGGTTAACGAAAACTCCATTCATACAAATTAAGAAAAGGGTGACCGTGATAACCGAACCCTGTGGTACGCCAGTCTCCTCTCGGAATGTTGCGGAACGGTGGTTTCCCAGAAGTACCTGAAAGGTGCGGTTTGCCAAGAAATTCTTCACGAAATGCATCAGGTGCCCGCCAAGGCCCCAATCAGCCATTTGTCGGATGACATCTGGCATCCAAGCTCTATTATATGCTTTTGCTATGTCTAAAGCTACCAGTTCGACGTGGTGCCCGCTCGAGGTAGCGTCATCTAGGGCTTGGGCAAGTGTGGCGAAGTACGTGTTTGTACCGTGTCCTGGACGAAAGGCGTGTTGACGGTGGTCAAGTAGGTCCCTGGATTCTAGAAAGTTCATCAGTCGTCTATTTACCATCCTTTCCACGATTTTGGAGGCACAGCATGTGAGGGAGATCGGCCTGAAATCACTAGCTTGTCTGCCTGGCTTTCCTTGCTTGAGGATCGGGACCACGAGACTGTGCTTCCAATCCTGAGGCAGGGAGTTGTGCAGCCACTCCTGGTTGATTAGATCTAGAAGGTTGCGTCTTCCTTCTGATGGTAGATTCCGGAGCAAAGGATAGCCCACCTCGTCCGGGCCCGCAGAATTGCCTTTAGCCTTTGATAAGGCTAGAGCGAGCTCGTTCATCCGGAAGGGTTCGTTTATTTCCGGCACAATTGTTTTCTCTGGAATTGGCATGCTGGCTATGGGGGGTGTCGAAGCAACTTTTTTTCCTACGGAAGCGTTCTTCGTAGCCTTCTATGGCTGATAGAGAGGCAAAGTATTCTCCAAACACATCGGCAATAGTTTCTGAATCGCGGGTAATTCCTCCTTCATATTTAAGTGCGATTCCCCGGTTTTTTCTCTTCCCACTTAAAGCATTAACCTCCCCACAGATCAGCTGCCGATTGGTTTGGGCTGATTTCGTTGAGAAAGTTCTCCCAACTTTGGGTTTTCGCATCGCGTATAGTTTGCCGACATTCGTTCCTTTTTGCACGGTAGTGAGCCAAAGCAACCTCCTTGTCGGTGGTTTTTATTTAATCGCTTGGCGGCACGAAGAGCCTTTCTCCTGGTTTTCACAGCAATTTTTGTGTTTGTCCCCCACCACGGAAGGGCTTTTCGTCCTGGGATGGTACTAGATCGAGGAATAGTGTCTGTTGCCGCTTGAAAAATCGAACCGATGTAGTCCGAGAGGTTGGTCGGTTCGGATTCTCTGCAGGTACCGGTGATTGCCTCTTGATAACTTGTCCAATCTGCTTGATTGTACATCCAGCGTGGTCTACGAGAGGCTTCGGTTGGTCTACAGTCGAGTCGGATTTCAATGGGGTGGTGGTCGCTACCCATCGGGTCTTCCATGACCTTCCATAGAAGGCGATGGATTGTTCCTGAGCTGGCGAAAGACACGTCAATTGCGGATTCCCTTTGTCCACTTATGAAGGTTGTGGATCCATCATTTAGAGGAGTTAGATCAACAGTTTCAGCCGCTTCCAGGACATCGATGCCCCTGCGGTTGTTTAGAGGGCTGCCCCATGCTTGGTGATGGCCGTTTACATCACCCAGGAGAAGTATTGGGCCGTCGATGGAGCGGAGTAGGTCAATTAACTTTCCTTTAAGTCCAGGGATCTTCTGACAGGGAAGGTAAACAGAGATTACAGTGACTGCTAGCGGATATTCGAGTCTTATAGCAGCCACAGGTAGCTCAGTAGATAGCGGAGTGGTGGTGAAGAGAAGAGTTGCTTTGATTCCGATAGCAGTGCCTTGGCGAGTATTGTGGTTGGTTCCCAACACCCAACGATATTGTCCCGCGAGAGTCCGGTCCATTCTACACGCAGAAAAAAATATTTTAAACGTAATAATATCTGACGTAAATTTAATAAGAATTTCATTTTGTTTTGGCTGCAAAATGAAATCATTATTATTTCAACAATCCAGTATCTTTGTTTTTAAAAACCCATGGATTGTTAAATCAAAAAGAAAATCTTTTCGAATTTACAAGAGCTTTTATGGTTTTGACGTAAGCTGTCAAATTTGGCAGCTGGGTCAACAAAAAAATATGTTTGTTTTTAAAAGAGATTTCTTTTTGATTCAATCATATTTATTTTATTAAGCCTAAAAATATACGCAGTAGAAATAAAAATATGTTTATTGATTCAATTTTTAATAATTTGCGATTATTTTTATGTTTTGTTTTCTATTTGTTACCAACAGAATAA